CAACTCTTGTCTTTTCTGGTATTGCCTCACCTTTCTGTCAGTTGCTGTCCTATCTCTTGGAGACAAGCCTATTTCAGGGGATTTACATTGGCCTCAAGGAGGGTGGGGATGTGGAGAAATGGAAGATCTGGTGGCCTACTTGTAAGAAGTTGCACTGCAATCCCAAAGACACACAGGTTGAGGCCACTAGGTGCTCTGTGGGAGAAAGATGGGCAGTCTCCTCCTGTGTGATTAACTGTCTCTGAAAACGTACTGGAGGGTCAGCTATGGGTTGGTTCTGACTCTAAGGGTACACAACCACAACAACAATGAGGAGGATGTGGATGGGGAGAGAAGGAAGGGATTCATCTGGAAGCTCTGGAGTTGGTCTCTTGTTTGAAGAGGAACCTTTGTTTCGGTCTCTGGCGCTTGCTTCTTAGTTCTTGAAACGGCAAGAGTATTCCAGTCATTCTCATGATAAAGAAGAAGTAGAAAATAGTATTGGTAAACAGATAGTGGTAAGAAAGAAGACATCACTTTAAAATATATTAAAGCTAATTACAGAGCCTTAGTCACTAAATTGAAATTATTTTATCTAAAACTCCATGGACTGTGTGGGATTTGGGTACAAGCAGCTCCCTGCTTACAAACATCCTACTTGTGAACCACCCCCTCTATAGCCTATTATATTAAAAATTTGAGATACACAAAGGGATGCTACTTTTAGACATGCAACCCTCCCCATCATTATCATCACTGTATTGTCATGATAAAGATAATTTAGTGCATGTAGGGGCATTTCTATAATGTTGTTATGCATATAAATGCATACTATATACTAAGACAAATATTGACTATGACTGGCTGATGTTAGATAGGAACCCAGTCTAACTTGTGTACAAATTGTAATTAAAGACAGACTTGGGAATGGAACTCATTCACAATCTTGAGACTGCCTGTATTTCATGAGCCACAGAAAGAGTGTGTAGTGCATCTGAGGTCTCTATCCTAAGGAGTTCCCGGCATATGAGACAAAGTTGTCCTCTGCTCCTCTCTCTCTTAGTTTTAAAATGAAACTTTGTCCCGGTGTTTTGAGTTGTGCAGCTGAGTCCCACAGAGCAACCCCTACACTTTCAGATACGTGTGCAGATATACATCCCTTAACGTCCAAGACACAAGGCCCTAGTTCTGTGAGATGGGTTGTTATGGGATCTGGACATTGTGTGAACCTCATGGGGGCAGTAAAAACCTTATAGGCCATCTTAGCTGCTGCTGCTGCTACTACTCCTCCTAGTACTCCTACTACTCCTACTACTGCCAGAGGCTAAAAGAATGGGCAGCTAAAAGAGATGCTTTGTCAAGCATCCAAGGAGGGTGGGTGCAGGGTTTACCTGGGACCCTCAACACTCATCTGCCTACTAGACAAAGCCCAGAGAGCCTGCACCCATAGTGGTACCCTCTGCCTCACCAGCTTATGTCTCACTCATGGTCCCAAGAGTTTGGGTTTAGGGTCTTGAAAACCATTCCCCCTGAAAAGTCAGTCATTGCCATGGAATCAGAACAGACTCATAGTTGACCCTCCAGTGTGTTTTTGAAAACTGTAAATGGTACTGCAGGCGATTGCCCCTCACTGCAGGAGATTGCAGTTCAAATTGTCAGAAAGACACTATCTTTGTGTTAGCAGTGCACCTCCCTACTGACTATGCTGCCAGAGCTCCGTATTAATCCCACTGCTGTTACGCTATACCATATAGTTGGAATAGACCCTCCAACAGGTTTTCAGAGGCTATAAATCACACAAAAGGAGATTGTCCATTATTCTTTTGTGGAGCAGCTAGTGGATTTGAACTGCCTGCTTTTGAATTGGCAGTGCAAATCCTTACCATTAAACCACCAGGGCTCTGTACTAAACCTATTGAGGGGGGATAATAAATAGAGAGGTACTTCTCCTTTAAGGGGCAAGGGAAACCCCTCCTGGGCTCTGGGACACCTACTTGTATTTAATCTAAATGCATTAAGTCCATTCTGACTCAAAGCAACCCTGTAGGACAGAGTAGAACTGCCTTATAGGGTTTCCTTGGCTGTACTGTTTACTGGAACAAATCACTGAGTATTTTGTCCTAAAGAAAAAAGAAAGAGCTCAAATCTCCAATTATTCATAACCACTGCATCACCTTATTCAACTGCATATACATTACATATAGGACTGTTGTACATAGGGTCGCTATGAGTTGCTGGCGACTTGACGGCACATAACAACAACAACAATAACAACTATATCTATCTATCTATCTATCTATCTATCTATCTATCTATCATCTATCTACACAATTAAGTGAGGCTTGTAGCAGGCTAGCACTGTGTCCTGATAGAGACTGAGCAATAGGCCTTGCAATAGGCCTTTTAAGCAGAACAGACTTTCTGATTATGTAACAAGTCATAATCTGGTAGTAATTTGTACTAAGTATAGGATGGTCCCTCCCTTCCCCTTAACTCTGGATGTTTGGAAATGAGAGATCAAAGTTCTTTCGCAAATATGAGGAAAAATTTGATAGCAAATTTGAGATCAGCAACCCTGTGAATAATTCAGAACATCTGTCGTATCCTAAGTCTTCCTTTTTTCTTGCTCTGGAATGAAAGAAAATAAAAGCCAATTTAGGTAAAATACTGTTTTAATGTAGCTTATATGTGCTTCACTTCAAAATATTTTAAAATTCACACTAGATGTTTAAAAAAACAATTTTAGAAACAGTCTTCTCTCATGGGTAAACAAAAGCAGATATGTTATCCCTTAGAAATACAAAATATAGGTTAAAAAGCAAATAGCTTTTGCTTTAACCAGCCTTTTAAAAAGAATAATGTGGTAAAATAAAGAGCATGCTACGTTTCTTTGAAAGCAGAGAATCTGGATACAAATGTATAGAAAGAGAGTGTTCTAAAGAATTTTCTAACTCTCTGATTTGTGATTTGCCATGGAGGCAAACATCTTGTCCCTTGTTAAATATAGGAACGTTGTAAACCATGAAGTGGAATGATGACTAAGTGCTTCAAACATCTGAGGTCAGTGAGAAGGGTGGGCAGGGGACCAAAACACCAAAGTGATAAGCCTTACAAAGAAAGCAGAGTGTGGGAACTTCAAAAGCAAATAAAAATATGCTCACGGAAAACCGTCAAATTAAAGGTTGGAATTCTAAGGCAGGAAGGAACCTGAGTGGTATGGGACAAAAGAATCATCCTAGAAAGCACAAGGATCTGGGCCCATTGTAGGAATGGGGGTAGGACAGGGCATTTCCTATCCTTGGAGAGTGGAAGAGAGTGTAACCTTAGATTCTGTTTGACTTGGCGGAACTTCTTTAATCTTCCCTAAATTCAATTTATCTGAAAAATTTTGCACAGGAATATGATGAGGATTAAATATTGTGGCATACCTGAATGTACCATATGCTTTTCATAATACTTAATTACTTTTTGTATCAGGAAATCTGATTTTGAGAGAAGAGGGAGCTCTGGTGGCTTAGTCTACACTAATCCAAAGACTGAGCCTCTTTGGTGGTTCGAAACCATCAGTCACTCCATGAGAAAAAGATGGACAGTCCCATCCTATGTGAGTTATTGCCTCAGAAATCCAATAGTGTCAGCTATGAATCAAATCCAATTCAACAGCAATGAGTTTAAAGTGTATTCTCATGCTGTTTTGGCTCTGGAAAATGACAGGTTCTAATACAAAGGGATAAAGCTGTAAGTGCCAAAATTCTTACATCATTGGAGAGATTTTTGTTCCTCATTTGACACAGTATTCTTGAGGCTAAAACAAAACAAAACAACCCACCTTGAATCATTTGGCCAAATCTGAAGTAGGAGATAGGGAAGTTCAATCAAGTGAATTTTCTGACCTGACATGTTAGAGTTTGCACAATTTTTATTTTTAAAAGGGAAATAAGAGTCAAAGATTTCATCAGGGAAGATAGCCAAGTGGACTGGAACTGAAGGCCAGGAGAACAGAGGTCAGGTGACCAGTATGACCTGAGGTAATTCAACTCGAAGATAACTAGGTGAACAAGATGAATGGTTCTCTCCCTGGGAGAACGTTGAAGAATTGACATTTAAACAGGAGCAGAATTCTGTTAAAACACCAGTTGCCAGGCCCCATTCCAGCATTTGAGAATCAACAGGTCTGGAATGGAACTTGGAGAATTGGCATTTCTAAGAAAGTACCAGCTGATGCTGATGATGCTGGTCCTGAACCCACACTTGAAGGGACCATGTAACAGATGCTCTTGAAACATCATTCCTACCTCTGATCTAATAAAACATGCCCAGTTGCCAAAGGAGAAGGGACTGTAAGAGAAGCTATAGGCTTCTAAGCTCAAGTGTCCAGTTGGGCTCCAGCCCAGAGAATACTGATTCTCCAGTTTCATGAATAAGAGCTTTAACTTCTAATGAGCAAAACAAGTTTGCCTTATGAGTGTCTTAGTAGTGTCACAACTGCTTCATTAGATCCACTTGTGCCACTGATTAAGTCAAGGCACAAAGACAGAAGACTTAAAGAGCTGGAGGTATTGTGTGGGTGTCACTGGTTGATCTGAGGCCCAGGAAAACCATAAGGTGGACTCTGGGTCTGGATGGGCTGTCTTGGCCTAGAAAATCTACATGGTTTAGAGACAAAAACTAATGAAAGCACCTCTTCTCCTTTTCCTCCCTCTTACATCTCACAAGCCATAAAGAGTAAACCTAACTGCTCAAGTATGATGTCTTTTTTTTTTCAGGCAAGAATTTATTTGCTGTTAACTAGGGGTGGGTGGAACGTCATATTGTGTCAAGCCATCTTTAGAAGCCATGTGCTTACACTTCCTTTTTTATTCTTAGATCCCACAGTTGAAGTCAGATCTGACTTTCTTTCCTCTATGAGTTCTTTCTTCTCCATTCAATTCAGAAATGCTCGGTTGTTAAAGATTACTTCTGGGGGCGTCAAAGAAGACATGTTCAATGACTCGAGATTCTCCTTTTCTTTCTGGTACCAGTTGATTGGCATGCTGCTGGCCTGCTGTCTGTCCCGGTTCATCACGGCCAACCAATATGAGATGGTGTAAGGAGAAGGTGAGTAGCAATGGGGAGGGTCTCATTTGGGGATTTTTCTCTGAGGTTTCTTTGGTCATTATTAGCTGTCATCAAGTTTGTTCTACCTCGTGATGACCCATGTGTGCAGAATAGGGTTTTCAAGGCTGTGACCTTTTAGAAGAGGATCCCCAGTCCTGTCTTCTGAGATAATGAAGGTTTTAATAAGTGGGGTTCGACAAGTAGTCTTTCAGTTAGTAGTTAATCGCTTAACTATTTGCACCACCATCCATAGATGCCTATGAAAGAGATCAACCCAAACCCCAAACCACCACCATTGTATCCTTTCTGACTTATGGTGGACCTCCGTCAGAGTTGCGAGGCTGCAAATCTTTACCAGAAGAGACTGCATATCTTTCTCCTGCAGAGCTCCTGGTGGATTTGAACAGCCGAACTTTTGATTAACACATAAGGCATTACACCTTGGAAGAATGTATCCACTGGCTTGGAGTCCATTCTGACTCCTGGTGCCCCTCCACCATTGGGTTTCCACAGCTGTTATGAGAGGAGACCACTTCATCTTTCTCCCGTGGAATGGCTGACCAAGTTGAAGCACTCTCGGTTAGAGCTCTGCCCTTCAAATGGGCACTTAAGTAACTATCAGATTTTGGTGGCAGTTGGTGCATGTGACAAATTATCATTTCTGTGATGCTGGGGAGGAAGTATGACCATTGCTATTGTGTTAAAATGTGGAAATGCTCTCATTAGCTTGTTAACAGTGGGGTCACTCACCATGCTTTCATTTCTTCCTTAGTCTTTCAGGAACGATGGGATAAGAGACCTGTTCCGAAAAGAACTGCAGCAATCTATGAAAGACTTCCAAAGAATGTTAGAGCACAGTACATAATGCCCCCTGCACCCGTATTTCTCCCTTCCCCCACTCCAAGTGTGCAACCAACACTCCCACACAGTCAGCTCCACCTTTCAGCCTGCATCATGTGTAGTGTTCCAATTTGTGAAGCCCCTTGTTGTGCCAGAGTATAGCCAGGTCCCCTTGCAGCTAGTCCTTAGTGGACCCGCCCCTAGCCCCATGGCTCTATGTGTGCCAGCTCCTCCATCTGTACTTGGTCCAACTGCAGCTCATTGTAGGTGACTGGTTATCACACCATCACTGGCCCGCTGGGCCCTGCATGTAGTGTGGGAGGCTCCTGTTTGCCCTTCACCATGATCAAGAAACACCACCAATAAACAACCTTGACTTAGATAAGCAAATGATAGATACCTATTCTTTTGATTTAACCTCATTTGGTTTGGTTTGGTTTTCTCTTTACTAAGGCTCTTTCCCTACTTTCTGCAGACTTCCCAGGTGATGGAAAGAAATGCTTTAGTTGTTGGTCATGCCGAGATAAGAGCATGTGTGCCACACATGGAAGAAATGTCGAGCTTTAGGTGGCAACCTCCTTGCTCATGATGGTTCCAGGCCTGGGGGGATAGAGACCAGTTAGTACTCCCCCTCCCCCCTGAGTTGAAACCTATATAGTCCTATTACACAGATGTGTTATTGCTTCCTGTGAAGGCAATAATACTACTTTTTCTTTTCCCTCAATTAATTGCTATTGCATAATTTGCTTTCCTCTTTCTGTATTCTCACATTGACATTACAGACATCGAGGACCTCATCAAGTCAAATTTGAGTGTGAGGGGGAACCAAAAGTCAAAATATTTTTAAAAGAACTTAAAAATAATGCCTCTGTCTAGCATGCCAACAAGAATGCATTGATATCGTGAACATGTGATTATGTATTAATAAATAGAGCCATTAAAAGCTGCTGGGTTCTGGTTTTGTTCTTTGCTGATTTAAAAAAAAATAGCTCTTTCCAACTTGTTTACAAGGGATTTGCTGTGGACTATAATGCTGATACGATACTCCTCTCAGGCTTCCACTGCCACTCAACCAACATAGAATACTATGGGCAGGGTAAATGCAGAGGGGTCTAATTTATTATTATTGGAAACTCGGGAACTTGAATAATTTGAATAATGTTGTTGGTTGCAGAAAAATAGATTCCATTTTTTTTTCAGACCTCTAGGCTAACATCCATTAAATAAATAAAGGTTTCATTAAAAAAGGATATGGACATCTGGGGGTTTTAGGGAGTTCCCCCTTCTTTATTTCTAGTTGTGATACTCTTATCTTCCTCCTTTCTTCCCTGGATTAAGGTTATTCAATCCAGGGAAGAGATGACGTCTTACAATTTAGTTGTCCAAGTCCCTCAATATGTACTAAAGTATGGAATCATTACACTTGATAGAAAAAGTATTTTCACGATAGATACACTATATATGTGTTCTGTAATCCTTTTTATTGTTATTTTTTAAATGAGTCATCCCTTTAAAAATCCTAGTGAGAGCATAACTTGGTCTGTTCCCAAATAAATGGGGCTAAAAAGCTCCCTCTTGTCTAGAGAATAGCCTGTAATTAGTCTAACATGCATTTGTCATCCTGAACTCAGAGTTAAACCCTGAAAGGCTTATGAAAGGGCACTGCCCTAAACCTTCTGCTCCTCCTCTTTCAAAATGTCTGCATTATTACCGTTAAGACAAGTTCTATATCGCAACATAATGCATCTCAAAAAATTCCCAGAATTAAAATTTTCACTTTTGGTCAGTCTAAATGAGGCTTTTCTCTAAAATCCAGAATAAAGCTCTGCTCATGCTCAAGGTTTCCTTTTTTGTGAAGTATGGTAAACTTTGGCAAGTACTTTTTATAGGATTGGCTACTGTTAGGTGCACCCCCCAACTCTTGACAACACATAACAAAATATTGTCTGGTCCTGCACTATCCCACAGCAGAACCATTGTGATCCATTAGCTGGCTTTTTCAATAGCTGGTTTTTGGAAGTAGATCACTAAGCCTTTCTTTCTAATCCCTCATAGTCTAGTCTGGAAGCTCTGATGAAACCTCTTAAGCATCATTGAGGGGAAAAAAACCCCAATACCAAACAATAACAGCCAAACACACACACACACACACACACACACACACACACACACACACATTCCTGTACTACTAATTCAGCTTAGTGACACTGTAGGACTCAGTTCAAGATTCAAGATCATGTCCATAGAATCCTTCAGTGTTGCAACTTGAGGCTTAGATTTGTTCTGCTCTTGGAACTTGAGAAATGCCCAGCATTAACAAGGCACTAATCTGGCTTGAGACTTGTGGACTAAACCTGGACTTGCCTTGTGTGACATTCTTTGCATTCCCTACTCTCCAGCATATTTCCCTAATAAGCTCTACAACTGTGAGTAAAGCCTGTGAGCCAATTTACAATGAACATTAGAGCCAGTGATTGGCAGAAATAGGTGCAGGAACATGTAGGATAGCATGTATGGTCATGTAGTAATTTGTGTGGTACTATGGATATTACACAGGAGAAGGATGGGCAATCTTTTCCCATGTGATTAACTCCTCTGGAACCCCACTGGAGGGTCAGCTATGGGTTGGTTCAAACTCTACGGTACACAACAACACGGATATTACTGATGAGGACAGTACCCTTTTATGAAGTGGGTAGAGGTCATATTCGGCCTTTATATGGTGGTGGGGGTACATATACCTTAGGCATAGATAGATAGATAGATAGATAGATAGATAGATAGATAGATAGATAGATAGATATAGATAGATGATAGAGATATCTATATAGATTAACAAGGCACTATTGCTCAATTACTTCAAACATCTTCTCAATCATCAAGTGAAAGTCTAGGTTCAGTACAGCAGCACAAATAAGCCTCTTGTTTCCTCAATCCAGCAAACCTTAGAGCAGTTAAAAGCCAGTTTTTTTTCTTCAATCATCCAACAAGCAAAACTTTTAATGGTAGCTTTATCTCCAGAGTTCCTCTGGTTACACCTTGCCAATTTCTTCAAAGCAGTGCCAAGTTTCTTCAGAGTCTACCCACAGTGTGGTAAGTGCTCTCTTTTATATTAGTCCCACAGCTGTGAGTGATTTGCAAGACCATGTATCCACATTTTGGGTAGCTGGAGACCATGTCCCCCATTAATGCAATGCAATTGCTAAAAAAACCAATTTTAAATGGTTCTGACACAGCAATCACTATTTTTATTTCTTGGTTATAAAGGAAATTCTCCAACTGTCCTAAAAATAACTGCACATCTTGAGGAGTGTTGGTGAGATACAGCTTGAATTTTCATCATGGCTTACAATAAACATTCTATAAATTTTTGTTTCTTGAGAGTGGCATTTGTTTCCAATAAAACTACAAAATAACTTGTAAAACCAAGTGAAAAAAATAACACTAAGCTGATCAAAGAACAAATAAACGAACACCTCTCAGCCCTGGTAAATTCCAACAACAAACAGTGCTAGATAATGGATGCACAGAAAGTTTGACCTATTTCATGGTGTGTACAGGATGGGATATAATTTTAAAAACTTGAAAATGTTCTGGTTTTAAACCGTTTGACATGTGAAGAATAAGGAAATGTCTGCCATGAAGCTGGTTGATTTATTTCCATGTATATAACAGATAGTGCTAACTTTCTACAGGAATAATTTTATTTTTTTGAATTATTAAATTTTATTAGTTTTAATGAACATTTACAGGGATTTTGGGTTTTCATTCCTTCATTGTTGCACCGTTCTCTCTACCCTCC